TATTTCTCAAGTTTTTAGAAAGCTGTTTATGGAGCCACCTTGGCTTCTTTAGGCTCCTCCCATTTTTTCCTTCTCATAGAAATCGTTTGTGATTGTACCTTCAGTATTCTGCTGTTAAGAAACTCCCATCCCTCTTGAACTGCCTTCTCCTTAAGTATTTCTGACCATGGGATTCTACCCAGCATAACTTTTAAGTTTGTCAAAATTTGCTTTCCTGAAGTTCAACCTATATGCCTGACTATGTACAACTTTTACCTTCCCTCTCCACTTTCTGAAAACTGAAGTTGTCAGCAAGACAAGTCAGGAATTTATTGGACCTTTCATTTTTAGCAGAGTTGAACTTCCAACAGATATCTGGGTAATTGAAATCTCCCATGACCACCATGTCCCATCTCTTTGAGAACTTGGTAATCTGTTCTAGGAGTGTCTCATCCAAGCAGACCCCCCCCCCCCATAATATCACTGTTATTTCTTACTCCTTTTATTTTTACCTAGATTCTGAACTGGACTTCCATGCTCAGATTCATGTATTTCTTCACAAGTATATACCTCCTTTACATATAATGCGACTCCTCTCCGCTTCCTTATTTGTCCCTTTTAAATAAGTCATGCCCCTCAGTCCTAATATTCCAACTGTGAGTGTCATCCCACCAAGTTTCAGTAATGCCTGTTATGTCATAGTCCCCTTCCGGTATTAGGACTTCAAGTTCCTCCTGCTTGTTTCCCATACTCTGCACATTAGTGTCAAGACATCGGAACCCATGTTTTATACACCCTGAGGTTTTTGTTTCTGTTCTTACATGTGAGTTAATACGTACCACTCCCCTCAAAACTTTAGAGTTCTTATCTCCAGTTATTGGCATCACACGAGGGTTTGCATTTTTGTCTCACTCCCCCATACGATTTAGTTTCAAGCTCTCCTTATTAGGTTTGCGAGGCTGTTACCAAACACATTTTTACTACCCTCGTGAGGTGCAAATCATCTCCCACTAGAAGAGCTTCATCTTGAAAGTTTAAGCCATGGTCCAAAAATCCAAACCTTTCCTGATGACACCCTCTACGTAGCCAGTCATTGATTTGTAGTATTCTTCTTTCCCTTCCTAAGACATGGCCTTTGACAGGAAGAACTGACAAAAACACAACCTGTGCTTCCAATTCCTTCACCTTTTTACCCAGAGCTGCATGGTCTCTTTTAATACGTTCTGGGCTGTGCCAGGCGATATCGTTTGTTCCCACATGGATGAGCTAGAAGGGATAATAATCCATGGCCTTGATGAGTCTTCCTACCCTTTATGTCACATCCTGGATGCGTGCACCTGGTAGACAGCATACCTCACTGTTGGGGGTTCCCATGTGTTGACCTATTTGCCTCCTGTTTCAAAAAGAAATGTACCCAGTTGTGTTCCCTGGCAGCATCTGAGCCACACTGCAATGGAGATGCCTTCCCAATCACATAGTAGGTGTGTGTGTGTTATGCTTTCTCGCATAGTCCTCTTTTGAGGAGGGTAATTGCCAAGCTAAAGACGGAGCACACTAGGTGCATCTTGATAGCCCTTTTCTGGCCTTGTCAGATGTGGTTTTCTGCATGTGCACTGTGTCTAAGAGCAGGTTTGTTCCATTCCTGGATAAGGGTCACCTAATTCATATAGGCCGGCCGTGTCATCACAAGGTCCAGCCCTTGCATCTCACATCATGGCTGGTGAGCCCCTAAAGCTCTGGTCAGACAGGGTTGTCAAGGTACTAGCCTCCTCAAGAAGGCCATTCTACTAGTCTCCTTAAGGAGGCCACTCACCAGCAAATCCTATGATTATAAGTGTGGTAGATTTGTGAACTGGGTATCCAGCTATGGAGTCCTACTGGACTGTATTTGGCTATTTGCTCTCTTTGAAGGATTTGGCTCTAACTGTATCCTCTATTAAGGTTCATTTAGTGGCTTTCTCAGCCAACCATAACAAATCTACATTTTTTTCCAGCTCAGCTATCAAAAAAGTTGTTGAAAGGATTGCTTAACATGTATCCCCCCAGCTCTCCTCCAGTTCCACAGTGGAGTATCTCCCTGGTTTTATCCACCTTGATATATGATCTGTTTGAACCAATGGCTACCTGTGACTTATCTGTATTATCCTATAAGATGGCTTTTTTGCTAGTCATGTCAGCATGCAGACTGGGTGAATTAAGGGCCTTGTGCTGCACACACCCCTTTACAAAGTTTCATGAGGACAACATGATTCTTTGTCAGAGCCTGGACTTCCTCTCTGCCTGCCAGAACACACAGTGCACATGCTCAATGCAAGGAGGACTTTACTGTTTTATTTGAAGTAGTACCCCTCTGCATATCTCACCTAAATTCAATCATGTCTGCTATTGTCATTTGGCATCCGAAATCACTCCACTTTCCAATATATAGGACAGATGCTCCCATTCTAGCTGTGAATTCTAGTTCCCTTTCTGAAGAAGTGAGCAGTGACTCATGAAAACTCATACCCTGCCACATATTTTGTTGGACTTTTTAGTTGCTGTTGGACTCTTGCTCTTTTCTGCCACTAAAGGCACACTAGCATGGCTACCCATCTTGATCTTAACTGAGGTGGTGGTGTACTGGCATAACTCTTGAAAGCAACAGGGTGTTAAATTAGTCAAAGGTAACTTATTGTGTTTAACCACAACTAAATGTTAACTGCATAGGGACCATTGTCTCAATATGTTTTTGCTTCTGTTTACTTCTGTTTACTTCATTAATAACAATTTTTAAAATCCCCATGGGAGAGACGTTTATCAAATAAGAATTCTTGAACTATTGCAGTTAAAGATAGCACCAGGAACTTTTCTAAAACACACTCTGCAAAAAGACCAAATGTTAAGGCACTATTTTAATTCCATATTTTCATAGAAAGGTCTTATAGTGGGAAAACAATTATTCATGTACATTGGAGAAATACTAATACTCTGGGTTTTTTTATAAACATCCCTAGGGTAAAACCTCCGTTGCTGTGATTCTTACACAAGCATCCCTTGCTTGTCCTGTCACAACTCTTATACTTACACTGAAGAGTTCCTGCTCATATCGCAAAGCAATGCACTACGTTTTACCTGTTCCCCTCTCTCCTTCAGATTGGCTGTTGCAAATGGCCAATGCCTCAAAATATTTAAAGAATTTACCGGTAAGGATCCCAAACCCTACCTATTATATCATTAATTTTCTTTTTCAGTCTCTTTCCTGCCCTTTCCTGAGGCTTTGGACTGGGTCAGGACAGGGCTTGTCCCGGTTGGTTTCAAGGCTACAGGATAGATGGTTCCAAAGACATGTTCACAAGGACATTAGAGTGAGCTTAACTTTAAGGTTTCCTAAGAGAAAGAATGGTGCTGGAGGCATCAGTGAACTTCATTGCTTCTCTTGGCACTTTTTAATTAGCACATTTGTATCCTGCTCTTCATGGAGCTGCGATGGCTCAAGTGGTTAAGACGCTGAACTGCAGGCTGTGGAAGGACGGTAGTTCGGCAGTTTGAGACCTGAGTGTGCGGCATGACGGAGTGAGCTCCCATCTCTAGTTCCAGCTCCTGCCAACCTAGCAGGTCAAAAGCAAGAAATTGCAAGTAGGTAAATAGGTACCACTTCAGTGGGAAGGTAACAGCGTTCCATGCGCCTTGGTGTTTAGTCATGCCGGCCACATGACCACGGAAATGTCTTCGGACAGTGCTGTTTCTTTGGCTTTGAAACGGAGATGAGCACCGCAACCCTAGAGTTGGATTCGACTGGCTTTCGAGCAAGGGAACCTTTACCTTTTTTATCCTGCTCTTCTGCCTTTAAAAACACTCATAGGGCACACTAGTCCATAATATCACATAAATGCAAGACCATAAAATAACTAAACCCATTCCAAAATAAAAGCAATACAACCAATTCACAAATGCTATATTTTTAAAAAAGAAGCATAGCAGTTTAGAATCCTGAACCCCATGCCCCTCAAAAACTTCATGGAAAAGGAGCACTTAAACCCCTTTCCTACAGTCACAGTCAGATACAGTTGTATCTGAAGAAGTATGTGTGCATTCACATGAAAGCGTATACCTTGAATAAAACTTTGCTGGTCTTAAAGGTGCCACTGGACTCAAACTTTATTTTACTAAATTAATATATTATCAAAGGGCCCAGAGAAATAATTTTTGATGTTCAGATAAATGTATTAAGTATTAGGCATAGTTTATAATGTTCTGGAATAATATGGTAAGAGAGACAATGTTTCCTTATGCGTTTTATGACTTGTTCTAATGCCTCTTTGTTTCTTTCTGTAGTTGACAGAATGAAATGTTGTGTTATATGTGATGCATTATATTTTGTGTTTGTATTCCGTGTTAAATATTGAAATGCTAATCATTTTTTAAAAGATAATATAATACTGGTTGCAATCTTGAATCTCCATTGCACTGATCCAATCATGACATACATAACTGCCTGTTCAATATTTCATGTACATTAAAAAAACCAACCCTGTGACACACAGATATTACATGAATGTGGGGACTAAATAACTTTGAAATCAGTGTAACTAATGATAAACAAAAAGGTGGGTCTGGTTTAGTGTTCCCTCTAAGCTGAGTTAGTGTGAGTTTTTTACCCCCCAGCTCACACATTCTTGTCTTAGCTCAGGAAGGATGGCTCCAGAGCAAACTAATTTATGCAGTAGCCAAACTGCTCGCTCACAACTTTAATGCCAGTAGCTCACAAAGTAGAATTTTTGTTCACAAGACTCCACAGCTTAGAGGGCTCATTGGTCTGGTGAGATGGTACTGAGTTACGGTTTCCAACCTCCACGTGAGTCCTAGGACTCTCCTGGGATTACAACTGACCTCCAGACTACAGAGAAAAGTTCCCCCTGGAGGAAATGGCAGGTCTGGAGGGTGTCACACCCCTTCTGCTGACCTTCCCCAAGCTTCACCCCAAACCTCCAGAAATTTCCCCATGCAGAGTTGGCAAACCTATCTCTTGTCTTCCCATACAGGTGAACTACAGGCCGCCATCTAGACTGGGAATTGCTGTTCCACTTACAGAAAACTTTTACAATGCTGACCCTGAAAAGCCTAGAATGAGAGATTATTTTCAGGGATCAAAAGTAAGTCTTGGTAGCTATACCTCTTTGGGAGTAATATACCATCTGAAAATATTTTATGCCAGTTCTCCCTTAATATTTGACATTCAGTAAATTTAATTTCTTTAGTCCATAAGTTTTCCCACTGGCTCACAGACACCATTTGGTAATATAACAACCACAGAATGTTTTTTCCTTCATCTTGAATTCCTTGCAAAGATTTTATTTTCCCTTGTTTGTTCATCATATACTCATAATTTATATAGTCAATTTTATTTCTTATACTGATGTCACAATAGACATCAGTTGGGGATGTCAGTGGCAAAGTTGGTGGTCTTATACTATTTCTGCACTGAAACCATATTCTTAATAATCCATCCCTCAAATTATGACAGCCATCTTGTCTTTGAGTAGTTTTTAATGGTTTCTTACTCCATAAATAAGGAGCTGCGGTGGCTCAAGTGGTTAAGACGCTGAACTGCAGGCTGTGGAAGGTCGGTAGTTCAGCAGTTCGAGACCCGAGTTGCCGCATGACAGAGTGAGCTCCCGTCTCTAGTTCCAGCTCCTGCCAACCTAACAGTTCGAAAGCAAGAAATTGCAAGTAGATAAATAGGTACCACTTTGGTGGGAAGGTAACAGCGTTAAGAACATAACATAAGAATATAAGAGACGCCAATGTTGGATCAGGTCAAAAGCCTATCTAGCCCAACACTTTGTATCACACAGTGGCCAGAAATACCAGTGCCATCAGGAGGTCCACCAGTGGGGCCAGGTGTTTAGTCATGCCGTGTGCCTTGGTGTTTAGTCATGCCGGCCACATGACCATGGAAACGTCTTCGGACAGCGCTGGCTCTTCGACTTTGAAACGGAGATGAGCACCGCAACCATAGAGTCGGACTCGACTGGCTTTCGAGAGAGGGAACCTTTACCTTTAGCCTCCCAGATTGTTGAGAAGTGACCATTTTTCACACAGTCGGCAGTATAGTAGATCAAGATCAGGCCATAACATCTTGAAATTTGGATGTTATGTCTCTGGAGTGTACCAACAGAGGCATAACATCCAAAATCACAAGATATCATAGTCCCACTACACTGCATTGGTCAGGTCACACCTGGAGTTCTATATGCAATTTTGGAGGCCTCACATTAAAAGAAAACAGACAGAATGGAGTGGGTACAGAGAAAGCAATGAGGGTGGTCAGGGGGCTGAAGACCTACGAGGAAAGGCTGAGGGACTTGGGAGTGTTCAGTCTGGAGATGAGGAGGCAGAGGGGGGACATGATGGCTCTGTTTAAGTATTTCAAAGGCTGTCAGAGGAGGGCAGGGAGCTGTTCCTGTTGGCAGCGGATGAGAGGACTTGCAATAATGGGTTTAAATTATGGGTGGAAAGGTACTTGCTTGGAAGAAGAGGAGGAGGAGGAGGAGGAGGAGATTGGATTTATACGCCACCCTTCACTCGGAGTCTCAGAGTGATTTACAGACTCCTTTCTCTTCCCCTCCCCACAACAGACACCCTGTGAGGTAGGTGGAGCTGAGAGAGCTCTGGCAGAAACTGCTCATGGCTGTATAACTGGCAGCCAGCTTTCTGTTTCTTATCTGTTAAAGGGAACTTGAGAAACCAGGAAGACATCATGAGTGAAAGGCCCACCACTTTCACTGTCAGAGCAGATTCCTCCATCTGCCACTTGCATTCGAGTGGCTAAATGTTAATTCTGAAACTCAGTGGATATTTCTTAAGAAGTGCATTGCATACCCATCCCCAGTTGAAGAAAGCAGCTCAGATAAAGATCTGAGTTCATGAACCAGTTCACAGGGGAAAAGATTCTTCAAACATCCAATTCCAGTGCGAATGAGCCAGGGATTAAGAGGAAACTCAGAAAAACAGTGGCAGAAATCTTTATCTAAACCTCAGATTCTCAGTAATAATTAATAATTATCATATGGCATTGTGTGTAGTATAGCCAGGAGATCCTAAGCTTGTCTGGCAGACTTAAGTTCTAGCTCTCCTAGTATGACTAGCTAGACATATTTTAGAGGCTGAGAGAGCTCTGAAATATCTGTGACTGACCCAAGGTCACCCGGCTAACTTCATGTGGAGGAGTGCAGAATCGAACCCGGGTCTCCAGATTAGGGTCTGTCACTCTGAACCACTACACCATGCTGGCTCCAGATTCTCAGTAATAGAGTGGCAATGTCTGCTAGCTAGACCACAGTTTTCTGAAGCTAGATTCATAGCTGCATTGTCTAGTCATTTTCCAGGTTCAGAATTATGGGTGAAACTGACGTTCATTTGGTTCACGTGTTTTTCTGCAGACTTCTGGAATTTATAAGCAATGTGCTAACAAGACAAGTCGGTTTGAATGTGGTTGTACAGATAATATGAAGTTGTCATTTGCTGTTGCCTTTTCAGACTGCAAGGAAAAGGTAAGAAGCACTTGTATGAAATGTTTTTGTAATGCAATTAAGCCCAGTAGGATGCTCTAGCTAATGTTTATACTCATGCTCTCATACATGGATGGCAGCTCATCACCCACACTCCTCCAGTACATCCCTGATGCTCTTTTCCCCTGTTCCCAGCCATCTTCCCTCTTCTCTGTCACATTGTTCTTCTGCCTCTCTTACAGAATCGGCTAAAGAGAGTGTTACAACTGCTAGCTGGCTAATATTGTAGTCACCTGATTTTTATCAAATGGGGTTAATAACAGATGGTCTAATAGCTGGGGTTATCTCAAGTGCTTGGACTGAGAAACCAGTCAGAGGTTACACAAGGCAATGTGGGGAGGCAAAAGAAAAACAGCAAAAGTAGCCTGTGGTGGTGGGGATGTCCCTTTGTGGTAACTGTATAGATTGCTGTCTGGGGATCTGCTGCCCGCTGAAGGAATGCCTGTTTACTTCTCCTCTGTTCTTGCATCCAAGGAAAGGAATCCCACAGTGGTAGTTCTGTATCTTCTTCTTATGCTTAGAGAAATTGGGGGGATGTAAGACATGCTGCTTTCCAGCTGCTCAAATCCAGCCAGATGTGTGACTGAAGGCAGTAAACAGACACAGAGAAATCCACTTCATGTGGCGCTAGGACACCTTTCCTGTCTGTCCAGTGGATGGCACAGCCTATGTTCGGACAAGTTATACCTTTGACTGATCGCTGAGAACGGAATTGTGTAGCTGTGAAAGAGTTGCATCAGATAAGATGAGAAACTAACTTACATGGTGCCATGTCTAACACTGAAGTAGTCTCATTTAATTCCATGCAGTTTGGAAACTATTTTCTTTCGATACCAACCATTTGTATGTAACTTCTCTTCAGGCGATCCGGATGAAATATCCAGTCATAAAACTTCCCCTCAGTTTCACCGTTGAGAATGAGGATGTATCTGTAAATATGTCGTCTCCTTATTTTGTCACGATAACAGAAGTCAACAACAGAACAAACTGGGAGATTTCAGGTAGGGGAGACAGAAGACTTAATGATTTGGATACAAAAGACAGAATGAGATTTTGCTATTTCCTGTCAATGCAGAGCCTGTGCAGACCATCAGCATTTTGTGCATTCATTTCTTAGTTGGACATCTTGTTTCATAGGATGGCTGTAATTTCAGGAATTATCACACAGGGGCAACTCTCTTAAAGCCTCATCCTAAAACCCCAGAAAACTATGCTGCACTTTGTGCCTGCTCTGTAGAGGAGATGCAAGTGAATAGAAGCTGCAGCAAGGACTCACTGTCACTACCTTTGCGGTCTTGTGCCTGGGGCAGGGAGCTTGCATCTGGGGGGAGGGCGGAGCTGCAGGCAGTACAGGAGTTCGTACTACCTGCCATCTCCTGTTTAACTGGCTGCTGCTGGGCTCCTGCCCTTTGCCTTTTTTGCAATTTGGTTTCCAACACAATCAGATCCTGGGACCATCAATTGTCCTTCCACATGGCTGGACCTGGCAGCTACTTCCTGGAAGCCCATGCAGCCTTTGTTTTCAGCTGGACACCAGAGACATGACAGCCCATTTAATAGCTGGCCATTTAACAGCAGATGAACATTTGACTAGCAGCTTCCTTTTAAACTGTGTAGAACAGCTGAGAGGCAACCATCTCCTCTGCAGCAGTGTGCTTTAACAGCAGCGTCTCTTCTTTGGGACCTGGGTACCCAGCATAAGCTAGGGTCCTCACCAATGTTCCCTCTAAGCTGTGGAGTCTTGTGAGCCAAAATTCTACTTTGTGAGCTCCTGGCATTAAAGTTGTGAGCGAGCGATTTGGCTGCTGCATAAATTAATTTGCTCTGGAGCCATCCTTCCTGAGCAAAGACAAAAATGTGTGAGCCAGAGGCTAAGAAATTGTGAGCTAACTCACACTAACTCAGCTTAGAGGGAACACTGGTCCTCACATAGAATGTGATTGCCCCCCCCCATTATTCCAATCTCAGCGCCGATGTGGACGGGCATGGAAAGGCCTGCAGAGTCCCCCCCTGTGCCTTTGTGTGTGTGTGTCTCTGCCCCCTATGTGTTTGTGTGTGTGTCTCTGCCCCTGTGCATGTGTCTGTCTGCCCCTCTGTGTATTTGTGTGTGTGTCTACTCCTCTGTGTGTGTGTCTCTGCCCCCCTGTGTGTCTCTCTCTGCCCCCTGTGTGTTTGTGTGTGTGTGTGTGTCTGCCCTTCTATGTCTCTCTCTCTGCCCCTCTGTGTGTTTGTGTGTGTGTCTCTGCTCCTCTGTGTGTGTGTGTCTCTCTCTGCCCCCCTGTGTGTGTGTGTCTGCTCCAATGTATGTGTCTCTCTGGCCCCCTGTGTGTCTCTCTCTGCCCCCCCCCTGTGTTTGTGTCTCTCTGCCCCCTGTGTGTGTGCCCTTCTGTGTGTCTCTTTCTGCCCCTCTGTGTGGTTGTGTGTCTGTCTCTCTGCCCCTCTGTGTGTGTCTCTCTCTGTCAGGAGCAAGCTGAGTTGAGTGGACTCAGTGGCACCAGCTGTACCACAAAGATAATTGTGCTTGGACCCAGCAAGTGGCACCAGGAGTCCAGGTCTGAACCAAGCAATCCTCGCTGTACTGCCAGAATCCCTGGGCTCAGGTTTGTTTGCTTCTGGCCATCAGTGCCTCTGGGCATCAGTGGCTCTCAAGAGTAGCCAACATATCATGGGCATTTCTATTACAAAAACTGGAGATATCTGGCTGCGGCGTGAGGTTCGATACTATGATTAAAGCAATATATAAACAATAGTTTGCCCAGATAATAGTAAATGGTGACTTAACAAAAGAAATTGAAATTCAAAAAGGGACAAGACAGGGATGTCCGTTATCACCATTACTGTTTATTTTCGCCCTAGAAACACTTAATGACTTAATTAGACAAAATGAACGTATACAAGGTCTTAAATTAAAAGGAAGTGAATACAAACTCTTGGCTTTTGCTGACGATCTACTATTATTCTAGAAAATCCTAAAGAATCTATTCAAGAACTTTTGAAAGTGATCCAAGAATATGGTCAAGCGGCGGGTCTAAAAATTAATTACAATAAAACTAAATTACTTTTTTTATAATGATTTTTATTGGGTTTTTCAAACATTATTAAACAGAACAAACAAAACAAACCAACACAAATACCATCACCATCCTATAACCAATATTGTAGTCTTCCATGATACATAAATCCTAAATCAAATTGACCAATTCATTACATAGTTTCTGTAATTCTTTTCAACTCCTGCACACCATTTTCCTAGATATCATATTGTTACATATTACTTATGTTTATTGCTTATTATTATACTGCTTATATTCCTAGTCAGCTTAAAATTCAGCTGTTTATTCTATCTAACTTTATTTTGATTCAGAACCACATTTTATTGAAGTATTATCATTATTATGGCATTCCCGCTCGCATCCCACTCAAAAAATTAATACAAAAAATTAATACGCCTAATATAATATAACCACTCATCCTCACACAGTATCCATTTGATCTGTCCTATCTGTTATATTATACATCAAAAACTCAACAGATGAATAATTAACTAAGCTGTATCAGCTATTTTATATCCTCTTTCATTTAATGCAGGTCAGACCCATATGTAAATTCAAGGGCTTTCAAACAGTTTTAGCTCAAACATCTTATATATCATTTCTACCGCTGCTAACTGTTCCTAAGGAGTTAATTTCTTTTCTGCTGCGGTCTCCCCAATTAAATCATCCTATCATAGCCACCTGGCTTAAATCATTGACTTGCCATCAAGCTGTAGGAGTCCTTTACAGTCAACTTATATTTTATTTCTTTTTTATTTTGATTTTCCCTGTTTTCTTTCACATGTCTATGATCTTTAAATTCCCTTAACTTGCCTCCCCATTCAACTTTCCTGTATTGCATTATGCATATATTCAGGTGTTTAACAGTATCATCCTTAACCTTCCTTGAAACTTTCAACATTCTTCTCTTTCTTTTTATTTTCTTTCTTTTCCTCCGGAAAATGTTGTAGTATCTTTTCTCCCCAGCTCTCGTTCTTAAACTTTTCTTCTCCGCTGGAGGGGTGCAAGTCGATAAGTCCAATTCCTGTGACCCACTCTCTGTAAGTAAGTGCTGGGTTACATACAGGTCTCCTTCTTGCATATCTACCAGTAGCTTGTCTTGTCCTTGTATCTTTTTTGATTGTTCTATATTACTGTTTTCTTCTCCATTTACACAGCGTGTAGGGCCCAAAATATTATCCCAAACCGATGTAAGTGTCTTATTTAATTCTTCCTTCAAAAGTTTTTTAAAATGATCTGACCTGAGTTCCAGGAGTATTGCATCCCGCAGCTCGTTGCGGAGCGTCTCCAGCGCCATTTTCTTCTCCTAACTCGACTCTTCCAAAGAAGTTCTGAAAATGTCCCAAGTCCTTTTTAAATTGTTATAATCCTTCACGAAACGGTTAACAGTTAGCAGTATGTTCAGCCGAACTTATCTTTTTACCCATACTTTCCAGTCTATCGTTCCTCTCACTTTTCACCGCCGCTTAGTAATAGTTGAGGTAAATCCAAAGAGGGGTAGGTCACACAGTTTCTTCTTTTCATCATGGAGTGCACCCGTGAAAACAGACAAACAGACAAAGTCTCACCGTGAATAAAGCATCATGAAGAACCAGACAAAAAAGAAAAAAAAAGAAGGATTTAAAAAGGTCGGTCACTGCTGTGAACACGTTGCCGTGTTCCTCCGACCTCGCCTTCTGCATCGAGGCGACCGGCAACACCCCCCGCGTTTCGCCGACAGTGAGGGGGGCTGGCAAGCCCCCTACTACTTCCTCCTCCTCCTCCAACCGCCGAAGCGAAAAAGCCCCAAAAAGGCATGGGGAGCCGGCCGGTTCGGAGCTCGTCCGAAGCCCGGCCGTTTCGCAGCGCCATCAGACCGGAAGTCAATAAAACTAAATTACTAACGAAAAATTGTTATACTGATACTAAAGAGGAGTTACAAAATCTTACCTCTATGGAAATAGTCAAGAAGGTTAAATATTTAGGTATAATAATGTCAAATGTATAATAATGTCAAATCGAGGACAATTATGCTAAATTATTGGATGAAATTGAAAAAGATCTGATGAAATGGAAAGACCTACATTTTTCATTGTCGGGAAGGATAGCAACAATCAAAATGAATATCCTACCGAGATTCCTGTTCTTAGCCCAAAACATTCCTGTATTAAAAAGACCGCAATATTTTGAAAAATTGGAGAAGGTAACAAAACACTTCATATGGAATGCAAAAAGAGCAAGAATTAAAGTCAAATTGTTACAAGACAGAAAAGATAGAGGCGGACTAGCCCTCTCAAACTGGAATTTATACTATCAAGCAGCGTGTTTAGGTTGGATTAAAGACTGGATTAATTTGGAAGACGTAAGATGCTTAAATTTGGAAGGAGCGGACCTAGTTATGGGCTGGCACGCTTACATTTGGTATGGGAAGGATAAATCACATCCCCATTTCAAAAACAATATTTTAAGGGCGGCCTTGCTTAATGTATGGGACAAAATAAAACAGAAATTTTACACTAAAATCCCAAAATGGGTTTCGCCCCTGGAAGCTTTTATAAAACCATCATTATTAACGAAATACAATAAGGAATCATATGAAAAATTACTAGACGAGACAAACAAGCTGAAAACAGAGGAGAATCTATCCTTACAACACAATCTGAAATTATCGTGGCGGGAGAAGACACAGTTGAACTCAAGGTATCAAAAAGACTCGGAAATTGGCTTCTATGAAGAGAAAAATGATTTGGACAAAATTTGACTATCGTCAAATGATAAAATGATTCAGAAAATGTATACATTCTTATTAGAGGTCTATATGGAAGATGAAGTGGTGAAACATAACATGGTTGTCTGGATGAGAGATATAGGGAAAACTATTACTCAAGATAATTGGACTAAGATCTGGAAATCACTTAAATTCATGAGAGCGTCAAATTATAGGGAAAATGTCTTTAAAATTTTCCATAGATGGTATTGGCCACCAGAACGACTAGCAAAATGCTATGTCAGTTTCTCTAATATATGCTGGAAGTGTAGATCAAATGTTGGAACATTCTATCACATGTGGTGGAGGTGTGTGGAAGTTCAGAAATACTGGAAATCTATACAGAAAATAATAGAGGAAGCTTGATTTGATGCCTGAAATATATTTGTTAAATATAATGCCAGAAACACTTAATTTTAATGAAAAATATGTAATTACATATATTGTTACAGCTGCTAGAATATTGTGGGCCAAATATTGGAAAATGGGAAATACACCTAAAATAGAAGAAGTAGGACATAAAATGATGGAGGTAGCGGAAATAGAAAAGTTAAACTTGATATTACAGGGGAAAAATGAAGAGATTTTTGTTGAAAGATGGATAGGGCTATATAAGTGGTTAGAAAGTGAAAAATGACTCAAAATATATGTACCTAGATGAAACTGTATTAAAATGTTTTGTTTGGAAAATGCAAAATAAAAATACTTAAAAAAAGAGAGAGAGAGAGTAGCCAACGCCCTTGGAAATTGTCCTGGTATGTTAAAGGGCCTTTAACCCATTTCTTTTCCTTCTGAACAGCAGCAGAATTTACTTTCTGTCTGGAATACTCTCCCAGGTCTGGTATTAGACACTTTTAGACATTGAGTTAAAGCAGTATTGCAAACCTTCCAATATAATAATTTAGTGTATTTCTTAACTCACTTCCCCCTCCCCACAAGTGAAGATCCAAAGCAGCTTACAAAAAACAAAACAAAAACCATTTAAACAAACAAAATACAGTATAAAATAACAAGCAAAAAACCCCAAAAGGTATATGAAGATGCCTCCCCCCTTCCTTTTTTTGCTTCCCCTTCTGACACACTTCTGGTGATGTCAGGGTGCGTGGCATATGCTAATGAGTTATGCTAATAGGTATGCTAATGAGCTCCTGCACCTCTTTTTCTATGAGATGACCCCTGCATGTCAGCATAGCATGCAAACACCATCATGCCCCCTTCAACAGATGTTAAGGTGGCTAATTTATCATTTGAATCCCAGTTGGTTGTTAGGCTTCTGCACCAATCAGGGTTCAAGCAACGTCCTATAGATACAAATAAGCCCATCAGTGACTGATTTCTGGTCATGTCAGAAGAGCAGGTGATGTGATCTGCAGCATCATACCACCTCCTCCTCTCACAGGACTCCATTGCTTTGGAATGTTGATTGAGGAAGCCAAGAGTGGAGAGGGAACATGTTATCTTGCAGGTACAAGAACAGACTCTCCTTTTACAGCATGTCCATGTGAAACTTAGGAGGCTTAAAAACAACATATTTAACATGGGCAGGCCACAGCCAGGCTGAACCAGACTTTTAAAGCAAACTCCAATTTGAGTGAACCAAAGTTCTTAACAAAGGGTCTGACTCAGTATAAGGCCATTCCATGTGTAAGGACTAATGGAGACATAAAACAGACTATTCATTAATATTGTAGAAAGATATGGGATAGGTTGCAGAATTGTATACCCCTCCATCTTCCATTGTTAAATTTAACGAGGGTTGAATTGGTACCTTGGTCACAGTTAACTACAATTAATCATAAGCAGGATTCCAGCATAATGTTTGTTTGCACCCCTATTTTACATTTATCATACTCAATCTGTATGCTGTAGCAAACTACTACATACCTCTCAGACTTTACAGAAGGTATGCTCTTTAAGAAACAGTTATATGGATATTCCATTCCTACTTCTAGGAGTCAGTTATTGAATTGTAAAGAATGAAAGTGTCACTCAGGGATTATTTTAATTGTTTTTCAGGAACCAATACAACATCAAGCATGCTGAAAATGAGAAAATATCTGGAACATAGACTCAAGAATACACTGTATAATCCAGATGGTCTCACTCTAAGCATACATGTAAGTTTTAGATAAAATATATAGTTTGAACTAGAAATCAAAACATGGGTATCTAAAGTCCTCCAAATCTGTGTACCCATTGTACATTGCTCCAAAGTCTGTTAAGAAAGTTATACAGTTTCAGCAGCTCCTTGTGTTGACTTTTTGTGGCACTGTACATATGATGATTAGTTATTAGGTCTCACATTACATTAGTAAAATTTGGCCAGGGTAGCACATGTTTAGCTCTTCTATCCCATGACTACCCTTCTATCCTAGAGTAGCTTATATGCATTCTTCAATGGCCTTAATTATAAGTATTCGTTATCCTTTAAATATCTGCTATCCTGTACGCTGAGTCCATAATAGTTCCAGTACTTTCACGAGGATATTGGAGCTTCTTCCTGGGCATCTGGCCATCCTGCTCACCAGGTTGGAGGCAAGTCCCAGGTCACAACAGGTCTCCAAGCAAGGGTTCTAGGATTCCAGTCCAAAGTCAAAGTCCAGAGTCTAGTAATGCAATCCAGGATCACAGCCCCAAAGTAGTTCATGGTCAGCCAGCAAGATTCCAAGAGCTGAGCCAACTGGTAGGATCATTATCAGGGCTGCAGACAAATTGATCCCACACTGACTGCAGCCTTATACAGGGAGGTTCCCTACAGGTGTTCCTGGGTCCCAGGTTAGGCTTCTCCTCACAAGCTGAGACAGCACCTCTGCTCATGAGGAGTACTGGGGCTTAGATCCTGGGGTGACTTATTGGTCTTTGCTAGGACTTCCTTAGCAGAGAGATGTCTGCCTGGCATGCACTCCTGCACCTGGTCCATGTCTCACCTCCTATGCTCCTGGGGTGCTTTGGGAGGTCTGATGTGGGCGGGTCCATGGATGTGGGCAGGTCCATGGAGGGCCCCCTAGGCCTTGCTGGCTCAAAGGGCAGTGCTGGTGCAAATCAGGATGATCCATGACACCAGCCAACCTGCTAAAAGAGCAAAAGTCCTGATTTGTAGGTTGTTGCCTTATAGTATGCTTTCATGGATTTTAAGGTCCTTGCTGCAGGATGGGTTGATGAATACTCTCCCCCTCTTGTAGTTCTTCAAGTGAGTTGAATATGTTGTACATCATACAGTCTCGCCTGTCTATGTGCATTTCCTATGGCAAGGCTGGTTAAAGGGATGCAGCTGTATACCTGACCCTTGCCTATCTTACTTTTTCTTTTCCACAGGGATCTGAGCTTTTCCATTTCAGGGTAGCAATTATTCCTGGAACCTCCTTTTGTAGCTTAGTTGATGAATTTCAGGTATAGTGAACAACTATTAACTTTACTTAGCAATACCAGGATATAAACAACAGAATACAGGTTTATAACAAATATTCCTGAATGTTTAGCTGTTAATTTCAACAGTCCTAAGGCACCAGGAAGAAACAACGGAAGCCCGCCCGTGGAATACAACAGGACCGCGCCGCTCGGGTGTCGATAGGTAGCCCCTCCCCCAGTCGAATTGTGGCCCTAGGATAGGAACTAATTAGGCACTTAGGCCATATATCTGTAAACCGCCCAGAGACCCTCGGGTAAAGGGCGGTATACAAATCGAAGATATAAATAAATAAATAAATAAATAAATGACAATCATGATTATTACTCATTTATTATTATTATTTATTTATTCATTCATTCAATTTATACCCCGCCCTCCCCGCGAACGGGCTCAGGGCAGCTTACAGCAGTGGCCCAATTGCCAATAAAACTGATAAAACAATATACATCATTTCATAATAAGTTAAAACATAAAAGCATAAGATGCTATTCAGTTCTACAGTTCGTTGCTTATGATGACATATTAAGATGTCTCCGACAACTAGATTCCAGCTCAGTGTCATTCTGAGTCGCTCGATGCAGTGGGCCAGATGTTAAAACTGAGGGCCAGGCTCATTGATGGTAATGGTGGGGGCGGCTCCTAATTGAAAGCCTGGTGGAAGAGCTCCGTCTTGCAGGCCCTGCAGAACTGCAAAAGATATATCTAATAGTGAAATATTCCACGAGGAACAAACAAATCTACCAGAGGGGATACAAATTGCTAAGGAAGAGGTCTCTGCCAACGCTTTCAAAATCTCTTCCCTTAATTGCCTTCTGAGAACTGCCAATGAAATATCAAAAAGTAGTGGTTAGAGTGTTGGACCAGGGTCTGGGAGACACAGGTTAAAAAAAACCCCACCACCATAGAAGCTCACTGGATGACCAGTCACACATTCTCAGACTAACTTATCTCAGAGGCTTGCTGTGAGGATCAATTGGAGAACAGAATGATGTAAGCCGCTTTTGACCCCCATTAGGTATGTACTGTATAGTGTCTTTTTGTCTCCTCAACTTCGAAGACTAAAAATAAGAACATGGAAATTAACTGTGTACTAATTGCAGAATTTAGTTGCACTTTTAGAGCTGGTTGCTGCCTCCCGCATCTCCAGTGTACATATACAGTAAACTGGCTCATGCAGAAGTCTTAGAGGAAGCCACGCATCTGCACTATGACACACCATCAGCTCTCCTGGGAAAAGTGATTTGCTTATGATCATTCTATGAGTCCTTTGTTGACTTTTATTTATTTAAGTAATTAATTTGTTAATCGCCCAATCCCTGCAGTGCAGGGCTCTGAGCGATTCACATCAATCATAAAAACACCAAGATAAAACAATGAAAACATTAATTAGATATTTCAAACAAATATGGCATATATTAATTTATCCCATTACAGACTGCTGGACACTTTGCGGCCAGGGGGGAAGAGGGTGAAACAGATATGGAAAGCATTTGGGGCAGAAAGGGTGCCAGCTATGATGGAAACCGTTGCTGTCCTCAGTCAAAGGCTAGCGGAACACCTCTGCCTTACAGTCCCTGCAGAATTGCATAACTTTCCACAGGGGCCTGATGGTATTTGGCAGAGAGTTCCACCAGGCTGGGGCTACGACTGAAAAGGCCCTGGCCTGGCCGAGGTCAGCCGGATAGCTTTAGGGTCGGGGACCACCAGCAAGTTGTTATCTGAAGAGTGTAGTGCTTGTCCAGGGACATAATGGAGGAGACAGTCCCGTAGATACTTAGTTAGTGTACCTATATTCTTCTCTTAGGTAGTGTTATAGGACTGAGTGGTAGGTTTCAATATTGCATTGGGAAACCAGGGGTGGAAGATGTAGCAATTAATCAGTGCCTTAATTTCCCAAATGGGAGAGCCCTGTGTTACACCTGCTCGCAAACCACTTTCTCCAACCTAGTTATTATCCACGAGTGCAAAGAGGGTAGATGTGTGTGGTTACTGTGCAGTGAAAGAAAAGCACTCTGCACATATGCAGAGGATTTGTATTCTCAGCATTCAGATAATTGATTTTTCTTGGCACAGATGTACTAGATCCTTTCAGAGACCTGATCTTTCATTAGTGAGAAGTGACGGGGCCCTAAAATTACTGTTTTTTCTGTTGTGAAATGTTCTGGAGTTTAAACCTGCCTGAGCCTAATGCCTTTTTTAGCCCTAATCCCAGATGTGGGGGGGGGGAGGACAGGAGTTTTTATTACTTCACTTGAACAGGAATATCAAAAGAAACCTTTCTTCAATCAAAGAACAGAGGGAGCTCAAGTCTTTGTGGACAGTATGATCCCACCTTGTGATACTTATATTTAGGGCTGCCAGCCTCTAGGTCGGGGGCTGGAGATCCCCCCGAATTACAACCGATCTCCAGATGACAGAGAAGTTTCCCTGGAGAGAAAAATGGCAGCTTTGGCCGGTGGACTTTGTGGTATTACACCGGCTGAGCCTTCTCCCCTCTCCAAACTCTACTCTCCCCAAGTTCCGTCCCCGAAATCTCAAGGTATTTTTCCAACCCGAGGTTGGCGACCCTTAATGAAAACAACAATAACCAAGCTTTAAATCTTTTTCTTTCATGCATAGAACTTAAATGGGGGAAATAAGTAACATGCAACAGTTCAGGCCTGTTATGTCCAAGCAGGCCAGAGGCCAGGGCCAGCTCAAGGTGTTTCTGCGCCCTAGGCAAGGCTGCCTTACGGCGCAGATGCCAACCTCCCGGTGGGGCCTGAAGACCTCTGGAGCCAGCCACCCTTTTGCTGCGGCCACCACCGCCTCCCCCCCCCACCGCCATCACCAAAGTGGGGGAGGGGGGAGGCACAGCTTGGTGCCCCATCCAGGGCCCGGCGCTCTAGGCGAATGCCTAGTTCGCCTAGTGGGTGAGCCGGCCCTGCCAGAGGCCTCATATCCTCTTCTGACTTTAAGCAAGCCAGTCCCTTGGAACTGCAGCTCTGCTCTGCCTTGGTGTGTTGTCTGTCCTCTTCCTTTCCAAGAGTTTCTTGTAGTCCCTAAAATATGAATGTACAATTTTATAGACAAGCCGGGGTCCTCCTGAGGAAAGCTACCTGCTGCTCCAGGCCCTCCAATCACTCTAGGAAGAATTATACAAGAGCCATGCAAACATTCACAGTAACAATCAAACAGCCAATTAATAAAAACCACAGTCCCCCCTTTCCAATCATCAATGTAAGAAATTCTCATTCCTAAAATATCAATGTATAATTTTATAGACAAGCGTAGGGTTGCCAGGTCCGATGTCTGCACCAGGGAACTTTCTGGTGGGAACGGGGGCGGAGCAACGCAACACACTGACATCACACAGAAGTGACATCATCATGTTGGGAACATTGTGCAGTGACGCTCTGGTTTTGGGGCAAAACTCAATGGTGAAATAGACTTCAAACTATCGAGTTTTGACCAAAACTAGAGCGTCACCTCACAACATCCCCAACACGATGATGTCATTTCTGTGTGACGTCAGCCCATCAGGGATGTCACACAGAGACATTGCTATTTGGAGGCAGGGTTCCCCTGCTGGCCAGCTGACCGGTGGCAGGCAGAAGCCCCAAAAACCAGAAGATTCCCCACAAGGAACTGGGGAATGGCAACCCTAGACAAGCCGGAGTCCTCCTGAGGCAAGCTACCTGCTACTTCAGGCCTTCCAATCACTCCAGGAAGATTGAGTCAACCCCCTGCCCCCATCCACTAACTCAACTCTTTAGCCCCATAGTGGAGTCAGGTTTACACTTGACAGTGCTTATTCATTGGCCCCGGTCACACTGGGGGGAAAGGTGCGGCTGAAGTGCGGCTTTTTTGAGCCGCATCAAAAGAGAAGTGCGGCGACGGGATCAGGCAGATCCCCCAAGCCACCGTGCAGTTGCTCCCCAGCATGATCAGATGCCAGGGGGAAGCCACAGATTGGTGAGCGAGGCGAGCTTGCTGTGCATGTGTGCGCATGTGCAGTTCTACAGGGCCTCCGTATGCTGCAGGGAGACGGGCGCTTCGGTGATCAGACGCCGGCCCGTGCTGCGCATCAACAGGTAGGTAGTACTCTTTTGGTGCTACCTTTTTGCGGCGGATTTTCGGCTGGAAGGGACGGATCGGGGCTGGGTGTGCACCGCTTCCCAGATGTTGTGGTATGATCCCGCCGGCTTGATGCGCCCCTGATCCGTCCCTCCCGTGGGGCAAATCCTCCTGTGTGACTGGGGCCATTGTTGAGTTAAAGTCATTCTGCACATGCTCATAGGCATACACTTATTAACACAGGCAAGTTAACAGCAAGATTGCAATTAATGATTACAAATGGGTACCAGGCTAAGTGAAACTGGGCATTTACTTTTCTGCTTCTACCCCACCTCTCCCACACCTTTGGTCTTATGATATGACCCTACTTATTTCTGAGGCAAAATCCCCATTACTAACAGAGGAGACAGCCTCAAAGATTCCTTTTTCAAAACTTCATTTTTTCAAGAACACATTTTATTTGCATCTCATTCAAAATGCTTTGAGGACACTATCAGGAATATAAGAAGAAAAGAAGGCAGTAGCCGCTGTATGAAGGCTATTCAGTATATTTGTCCATAGAACAATGGGTTCTGAATGAGACACAAAGAAAATGTGTTCTTGAAAAAACGAAGCTTTGAAAAAGGAATCTTTGGAATGTGCTTTCAGTCCAGAGGAGCATGTCACCAGAGGGACTGAGGCTTGAGGTGCACAGGTTGCTTCCTTTGTTAATTGCAACACTTCTGCAGAGAGAAAAGAACAAAGAACAAACATTAGAGACTGTTGTGTTGATTCTGCATTCGAGATTGTTGTGTTGATTCTAATGTTGATTTGTTTTGAGTTACATTGTAGTGTACACAAGGCTATTGAAAACTGCATTGTGAGATGGTCTCTTTAAAAGCAGCGCACATGCCTCTACTTTTTGTTCATCACCTCGGGCGCTTTGGAAAGATTCCTATAGGTTTTTGAATAATTAACAATATGTATTAGAGTTCAGCAGTTCAAGACCTGGGTGCCGCAAGACGGGGTGAGCTCCTGTCTCTAGTTCCAGCTCCTGCCAACCTAGCAGTTCGAAAGCAAGAAATTGCAAGTAGATAAATAGGTACCACTTCGGTGGGAAGGTAACAGCGTTCCGTGCACCTTGGTGTTTAGTCATGCCGGCCACATGACCACGGAAACGTCTTCGGACAGGGCTGGCTCTTCGGCTTTGAAACGGAGATGAGCACCGCAACCCTAGAGTCGGATTCAACTGGCTTTCGAGCAAGGGAACCTTTACCTTTTTATTAGACTTATCATACCTAAAGAATAGACTTTAATATAAAATAACTTAAGTGTGACTCATGACTGATGGTCTTTCCATTTCGGTGATTCTTGGGTTTTGCTATACTTGTCACTGTGGGCATTAAAAGGTGCAGAAAGAAGAAAGAAATACACAGTCAGTTCAGGAGGAAAAGGGGCTGGGACAGAAAAAATAAGAATGAATTTGGTTGGAAAGAGGTTAATTGAATTGACTCCAGCTGTCTTCCAACTGCCATTCTTTTCCAGGCAATTGGGACAAAAAAATGCTTGCCCATTTCCCTTTACCTCTGTGGAAAGGCCTAGGAACTTTTTCTAAAAATGAAAGTTAGGAATTTGGAGGTGGAGTGTGACATATTTTTGGGGAGCCATGACTCCCAAATACCCAGTAGATACGGATCTGGTTTCAATATCTTGCCAATAGTACATGGCCATCATAAATTAGGATTCAGCCTTTGAAGAAAGAAGGTGTTGAAATTACAATGTGTTCTGTTGCAGATTTATGTTGATGATGCTCCCATGGCTTTCCCAGGAGATTATCTTATCACTTCATTTACAGCTGTAGCAGTAGGATTTAGTATCTTTGTGGCATTTTTTCTGCAAGCATATGAAATTCAGGTATGGAGCATTTTGAAGCAGAAGCTAAGCAAACCAAGCAGAGTGAGTCCAAAATTTTCTCTAAGGAAAGCTTCAACGACTTCAAGTGATACTAGTGAATAATGACTGTTGACAGTGATAATCAGTTCCTTTTTTTTACAATTTAGATAGTAGTAATTTTATTCTTCTATCCTTACTTGGCCCATGAAATAGTCATAGTCTTTGTTAGGAAAATATTTTTCAGAATATGTAAAAAACTTTTTCACTGTTCTTTAGTATGTGAGTTTTGGACATTGTTTGTCATGTTATTTGGTCGTGTAATATTAATAAATCTATAAGTACCCACATCTCTGGCCGCTTATTTCTTGGCTACAGATTCTGTAGCAAGCACATTGCAAAGGGTTCTTTCCATCATCTTTATTACATTAGTGGTAGACACTAGCAAAAAATTTTTTTGCTGAAAATTGCAAACTAACCATTGTCAAATATATTAAACAGTAAGGAATATAGAAATGTTTTCAAAAATCAACAGTCTCGTAACCAGACCTGAAGCCAGAGTGGCCAGAATCCGGGTAGTTGACATCATCCAGGAAACCCTTCAGTTGTTGATCCAACACCTGTCTAATCACCTTGCTCAAGAATGGATCATTTGAGACTGGTCAGTAATTATTCAAATATCCTGAGTCCAAGGTAGATTTCTTTAGGAGTGGATGCACTACACATAGCCTGTTTGACGGTGCCAGTGAGCATCCCCTCTCTAAAAGAGGTCTTAGCTTCCTCTCAGACCCAGTCAGCCAGCCCTACTTCCGCAGATTTAACCAGCCAGGAAGGTAGGGCTGGCAGGCATGGCTTGGCAACCAGTGGGGGACAGTGGGCACGGAAGGGGGGGGGCTGCTGTCAGTGAAATCATAATATCTCTTCTGTGGGAAACCTGGAAGTGTCATCAGTCCTCTTTAGGAATTGGAAAAACTCATTGGTGAAACTATAGAGTGTTGGTGATTCCCGAGAAGTGATGTCATGCTGTCAGTTTTTGTTGTTGTTTATTTTTCTCCTGGCAACCAGTGGGAGACAGGGAGGCAGGGACATTGGGGGCTGCTGTTAGTGATGTTTTAACACCACTTCCATGGAAAACCCAGAAGCGATTTCAATCTTCTCTAGGGATGTGGTCACACGGCAAGCATCTCGCGATTTATTCCCACAATAAATTTGCATCCATATAAAACAAGAGCAAATGGTCTTATGGCCTGGCTTTGATGGCTGTATAGTTCCAATAGATCTTCTTCGTGGTCTCTGTGCAGGTCACACACCATGGGTTTCACGCCTGCGTTAAACCTCCGCCGGGAAGCCTAATAAGCTTTAGCGACAGCTTTCCAAGTGCGGAGTCCTCCCCAGTCTCGTGCAGCACGCACCATCTGAGCATGCTCAACAGCTACGGCGGACTCCGCCCCCACTCAGTTCTCTTTTAACCGCCTCCTGAGAAGACGTTTTTTCCCCGTCGTCCGGGGAAGCCTCCTCAACTGTAACAAAGTAACTGTTAATTGTCTTTCAACACATCACTAATTGCCCTGGGCAAGGGGCGGTCTATGGGACCCACGCCTTATTTTAAGAGGTGTCTGAGCTGTTCAGCGAATATCCCCCTAACGGACGGCCACAGCTGTTGCTTGCGCTGCTTGGGGGAGGAGCACAGACCCGGCTCCTGTCAACACTGCCGGAGATTTACAAGTCAGGCGAGGAAGAATAGGGCGGCTCGCCTGAAAGTGTTTTTGCTGGAGCAGTCCCTTGCCCCTACAATGTCCGCACCACCAGGAAAGGGGCAATCGCCGCCTCCCCCACTGTTAGAGAGGGGAGATTCGGTGCAATGTGCTGCAGCTACTAACGGGCAGCAAAAGGAAAAGGCTGGCAAAACGCCTAAAAGACAGTCTTGCTCCGCAACGAAGCACTCAAAATCGAAAGTGCCCAAGTTGTCTGAAAGCACTAAACCTACTGCGGCTCGAAGGGCCACTGATGAGCGCTGCCAGGCACCGTTAACGGTTGCTCCTATTGTGTTGGCTGGCCTGTCCTCAAACTCGCCAACGGTAAAAGGCAAGGGATCGCGTTCGGACATGTCCACTTCGCAGGCAAGCACTCAACCGCCTGCGCAGCCAAGG